GCCCGGCAGCTGCTCCGCGGCCCCACGTGCGTCCCCAGCCCCACAGGAGCCTGCCGGGGCTCGCACGGCGCGGAGCATCCCAAAGCCCCGCGCAGCGGCCACGGAGAGGGGACCCTTCACCGCAAGTCACGCTTGGGGGCGAAATGCCAAGGAAATCCTGTGACCGACTCGCTCTTTTTTTGCTTAAAGTTACCAAACTTTTTCTACGCTATCAGAAAGCAGCAACTGCATTTTGTTGTGCCCACGGCTAGGAGCTTGAGGACATCGGGCAGGCAGGAGCCCAGTGCAGGCTGAGCCCGCGTCAGACCCAGCGCTGCACGTTGAACCCTGTCACTGGTTTGCTAGTAGAGCGAAAGAAGCAATATCTCAGCAAGAGTGTTAAGTATAAATGAAGCGCAATAATATTACTGCTGTGCTTTGAAAAATAAAAGTAAACTTTTGTTTTCGTTTTTTCTAAAACTCAGATGTGCTACACGTTTCCTTGGGAAATGTAGTACCTGGTGGAAAGTCATCCTGAAGATAAAACAGCTCTTTTATTCTCAGTGACAATAAAACAGACCTGACAATATAAAACATCTTTTTCTGCTTCTGTTTTCAGCGTACTGCCAGGGACCTGCTATAGCCCAGACCAGGCAGCTGATGTTAGCACAGTGCTTCATGGTGCTGCAGTCCATGAGCAACGCACCTAACGATGCTGTGCAGAGCAGTCTCTCCAGAGAAGCGGCTTTTGCAGGCGGATTGACCCATACCAAGTTCAGGAACATCCATTGAATGGTCACGCATGGGACATAAGGGTGAAAGACATTCATAAGATCCTCAAGAAGCACTTCTTGAAAAATTGTGGTAGTAGCAGTAATGTACAGCACCTGGTGGTATAAAAGGGCCTATTTGGTCCCTCAGCATACCATAAAGCCAAGAAAATGAAAACTATGAAACACATTAAGTTTAATCCAGGTTAGGATTTCAAACAAGATCTACGATACTTCTTCCAGTTGATCAAGGTTGTTTCCTTTTAGCACAAAAAGCCTCTGTCTCTTCTGAAGCAAACAGAATAACTCAGTGGACAGCTCAGTCCCACACGTCTCCTCTCGGTATCCACAGGGACCACTCAACCTTGGGCCGCTTTTCCCCAGATGAGGTGACATTTCTTCCTGGGCAGGTACTGGTGACGCTCAGCAGGGATGTCCAAGGGCGACCTTGGAACCAGAGCTGTTACCGAGGCCAGAGCAGGTGCAGTTCGGACGATGGGTCACTTCAGCTGCTCCCCATTTCAACTCGGGAGACACTGCAGTGACTCTATGCGTCAATCGAGGAGCCCGGTCAGGCCACAAAGCTTTCAGCTCTCCCAAAACTGATCTGTGGCCAGGGCAACATTCGGCCTAACACCCTCTGTGGCTGCTCCTGCCAGCCCACAGCGATGTTCGCGGCTTCTCCGTGCGCCTTCAGGCCGTGCCCCAAAGGCTCCTGAAGACCCGATGAGGCAGGTGCTCTCCTGAACCCAACCTGGGGGTCAACCGTGGTGTGAGCTCCTCAGCACGGGAGCAACGCGACCCAATGGTGCTGCCCTGGGGGAGGGAAGGGAACATGCGGGAAAAGGATTCAGCAGCAGTCAGAGACGTAAAATTAAAATGAATTTTGGTCATTTTAATAAATATATATATATCAAGGAAATCTCACTTTACTACAACAACACATTAGTATACAAGCATCTAATATTTAAGCTTAAGACATCAAATGTTTATCAAATATTGGAAAAGAGCAGACATGACTACACTATCTGGGTTTAACACAAGAAAAATCAGCTTTTTTAAAAAAAATTGGTCCTTGTGGACAAACTTCTAAATGATGATCCTACTCATACACTGTATGAATGAGATCTATATTTAATATTATTATTAATAAAAAAAAGCTTCTTTCTTGGAGAAATCAGGTGAGATTTGTATTTCCTTTATTTGTCACTCTTCACAGTGACAAGCCCTATAAAGCTGCTGGTCCCAGCTTTACCTGGTTGCATAAAGGTTATCACGGATTTCCATCCTGGATGCTCTTTTCAGGGTCGCTTTGGCTGGGGCGTTTCAGTGCCCAGAGCCCCTTGGAAAGCCCATGCTCACAGCCCAGGGGAATTTTGCCCTTTGGCCATGGTGCTCAGATGCTTGGATGTGCTGTAGGCACAGGGAGCTCTTAGGAGCCAGCCATGGCTGGGACTTTGGCCAAGTGCATCCAATCACTGACTTTGGGGACAGCAGGAACTAGCTAATTTGGTGGGTCCGAGACAGGCAACGCTCTCAGGCCAGCCCTGGCTAAGGTCTTCTGAGCGGGTTAAATAGCAGCCACTTGCAAATAGTCTACCTGGGGAATGCCTAAATTTTGTCCATAGCCACTGAAATCTCAGCTCATTTCTCCAAAATGTTCTTTTTTCAAAACTAAAACCCTTACATTCATTCAGATAAAGTCATGTTTATCGCCACATTCTTGATTAACATTGTGCTTTTTGTTTTGTTTTCTTTTGTTTTTTAAATCAACAGCAAAAGTCATATAAAACTCCCGCATGCTTTTGCAATCTAAAAGAGAGAAAATTATGCGAAACAGAATAAAGTATAAAACATGCCACTGGTTCATGAACTTCATTATACGAAGAAGAAGGAAAAAAAGAGCCCCAGCAACAGACAGTTGCCATAGAAACGCTCAAGCATTGGATGCTTGTTTACAAGAGACATCTCTCTATTGTTTCCTAAATCCCTTCCTAAGGATGGCAAATCAAAAAGCAACTGAGCATCAAAAAGGAAGAACAGAGATGTTTGAATAGGAAGTTGAACTCAGTACTTCAAAAGGTTAAAGGTTTCTAATAATATTGATCCACCCTGTCTTTTTTTTTTTTTCTTCTCCTTTTTGTGTTTAGGCTAAATCCCTGCTGTATCACTGATTTATACTTAATTTTCACGCTGGCAAAAATTAAGACAAAAAGTAAGGCACCAAAAAAAACCTGCCCTGTGTAACCACAAGCCTCGTTGGTTATTACAGCCAAGGTGGAAACATGCAAGCACTAGAGCTGCACACTGCTGATTAAAATCCCATAAAGAGGAACCTCCTCATGCTACGTCCTATTTCGTCAGCTGGACGAGATGCTGGGTGCAGGGATTGAGGAGCATTGGTGCAAAACATGAGGATGATTTGCTCCCGGTCTGTGTAGCCAGTCTTTTGCCATAGCAAACCCTGCGTTGGGAGAAGAGCATCACCCTTGCTGGTAGCATCAATTTGTCTACCAGGCTTCCAATTCCTTGGTAAACATAACAGAGGATCTTCTTAATTAACGGCAGACTTCTTGGGGGCAGGGATATAGAAAACGATATGTTTTCCCCATCTGGTTGATTGGTATTTTCAGTAACAACAGCTACACTATAGCTGGATACACTACAGCGTTGAGCCACAATGCAATTGCACTCTGTACGAGGTCTCCGTACTTATACACGGCCCGACGATACAGATCATGGGGGGCTTTATGCAAGTGGCTCCTCAGTCACTTACAACTACACGTAATGTTTGTGGCATGATTGTATCACTTGTAGAAAACTATAAAAAAATCCATTGAAAATAAAATTTTGATAGCTAGGTGGACATGCCGCGCATGCTTCGGCAGAGTGGAAAAGGCGCCTCATATTTTACTTCCTTTGCTGCAGCACGTTTTGTTGCTCGGTAGCGATTCCTTTTTCCTTACGGATTTTTTCCAAGATTCACCGGTGTTGCTCTTGTCACTGCACCCTGTCTCAAAATAATCGTAAAACTTGCCTTTACACTCGAGGGCATGGGGGCCTCTGAAGGCTTCACAGCTTAGGGTGCTGCTGTCTCGCTCGGCCTCGTCGCCTCCCTTCTCGTCACTAAATTTTGCCTGTTCCTGTTCACCATGAGGCCGGGCGGGAGGGAGGAACATTTCACCAGCAGGTGCCTGGTCATCACTCCTGTACAGAAGGGCACCGGAAAGGCCAAAATCCGCCTGCTGGGAACAGCCTGGCAAAGACATGGCTGAGGAAGAGGCGGAAGAGGAGGAAGAGGAGGAAGAAGAAGTATTTTCTGTGCTAGTGTTAACAGAGTAGGGTAGGTTTAAGTAGTGACCGCCGCACTCCTGATAGAAGCAGCAGGCGTGAAGCTTCTCATACTCCTCCTTGGCCATCCGCAGCCGCTTCTTGTAGGGACAGTCCTGTGGCACGAACCACTCTTGCGGCGAGGCGCTGCCGAAGGAGCAAGCAGAGAAGCACCAGCTGCTCTGCATGACGATCTCCCCGTGGATCCTCTTCATGAGGTTGTTTATGAGCACCGACCTTCGCAGGTAGACCTCGGGGTCGTCGATGAACTTCAGCTTCTCCAGGGACATGTACAGGATGTGGGCCCGCTCCTCAAACACTGAGATGGTCTGAAAAGGCAAGAGACAGAGACTGAGATGAGCGGGCAAGGAGGAGGCCAAGGAAGTAAGAATCTGTCTCTTTCCTTGCAAGCCGGGCTGAACCATAAAGCCACCACGCAGCTTTGCCCTAGCAATCCCTGGGGGTTTTCTGATGTGAGTACACCTCAAGTCTGTCTCCCACAGAGCCTTCGACAAGGCCGCAAGCCCGGGCACTGGCTCCCCGTCACAGCGCGGCTGCCAAAGCGTGGCCGGTGCTGCTGGTAGCAAAGAGGTCCCCGTTGGCTGAGCACTGAAATGGCGTGGGGAAGGTGGCGGAAAGAGCCCGGCTCAGGGCGCCGCCACCACACGTGACGAGTAGCTGCCAGGCCACACACGGCTCCGCAGGCTGGCAGGGATGGGGGCAGGCAGTGAAGAGTGGGCAGGGATTTGCCGAGCCTGCCTTCCCGGTGGGATCGCCTCTCGGACACCAGCAGCATGGAGAGGTTGCTGTCCTGGGAGGCCCTGGGCCGGCCCCACAACCATGGCCTGGAGAATCAAAGCAGAGAGAAGCAATGTGCACTACAGTGTGCAGCATTAATGAGTCTTCACGGTGAGCAGGAATTTGGCTGGTGTGGGCGGGGAGGAGCCACGCACAGAACGAGGCGGCTCCCGGCCCCCCACACGCGCCTCGGCCGCGCTTCCCTTGCCCACATGGTTGCAGCATTTTTGCGGCGTGCGAGTTGTAGCGAGGAGAGCTGGAGGAGCTTAAGGCACAGCTGCTTTTCACATCCCTTCAGCCTTCCCCAGCCCTCAGGCTCTTTCTGCAGCCCAGGCCTGTCTGCAGGGCTCAGAAACAACGTGACGCCTCATAAAAACAAAAATTGGCCGTGTTTTTCATGCGGTCCCCAGCTGAAACCGCTCTGATACAGGGGGTAAAAATGACTCGCTTTAACTTGCATTAAGCCTATAGGTTAATCTCTCTCCTTTACGTTGAAGTCATAGCCAGCGAACCCATAAAAGCCTTGAGGTCCTCCTGGAGGTACGTCCTGGAGAGCCGTAGTAGGAACAAGCTGGCAAATGCCTTCTGCTACAAACGCTTGGTCCAGAGCCCTATCGTCACCCTCCGCAGGGGAGAAGGAACTCGAGCACAGAGCTTGCCCTTTTTGGGCAGAGGAGGCATACAAACGCACAAGAAATAAAAATTATATCATATATTGATTCTAAAAATGTGTAAGGAAGTCGAAGAGATCTGGTGGGAATCCTCCCTCCCCCAGAGCTCCGTAGTGCAGAGGAGGAAACGCAGCTGTGCTGAAAAGCACAAGTCAGCGACCTGAGATGTCTGACATGACACTGCTACGACAGCACAAAACGATGCCTGAGACAGGTCTGTCTTGCCAATACCTCTCCAACGGGTTTTCACGCTACTAGAAAGGACAAACAACTATTCATTTTTAGGAGACGAATAATCACAGCTACAAAAATCCAACAACCTCTTCAAAAAAAAATCTGGCTGAAATTAGAGAATGATGTGTGCATAAATGTATATACACACACAGTATATATAGCACATGTTTCAACACCCCTCGTACCATTTATTCATTGCTCTGCAAGCTGATCAAACACCTTCTGAAATTAATGACAGGGCAGCTTTCACCTTCTGGTCAATTATCCACTTCCAACCAAAACTATCTGTACATGAAAACTTCTTTGACCACACTGAGGTCCTTGGAGAGTGAGCTTGTCATTATGGCTCACTCCTTCTAAGTGAAAATCTCTTGGAGAAATAGGACCCAAGCAGCCAGACCTCCCCACGAGGTACCCCTGAAATTTTGTCTCGTCTCAAAGGTTGCCTCTCCAGGTGGGAACGGCGATGCAAGCAAAGATAACGCAGGAACTTGCTCTGCATCTTGCTTTGTTTTAGTTTCTGCCTCTGGGGCTCTTGTGGTACGACTGCCTCCCATGAGCAGTGCTTTAATCACATTATATTATGTCATCTCTAACTCCATGAGTAAATGGATAGCACAGGAGCATCATGGGCCAAGTAGGATCCCTCACAGCAAGGATGAGGCCTCAAGGTGCAAGCTACCCTTGAACAACAGCAGTCCAGGTGTTCAGTTCCTTACAGGGCTGGGCAAGGGCATAAAGTCTCTCATAAAAAGCTAGGTTGTAATTTGGGATTCACCAGCCTGGGAAATGTTTGCTCTAATTCCTCTCTTGGCAGCTTTAATAATAAAAAAAATCATTTACTAATCTGTTCTTTGGTGTTATTAGCTTTTTAATAAACAGGATTAAACACTGAAGCAGATTGAATTTGCTTTTCTAGTCATTCTGATTCTCTATAGGATCCCTGTACCCACTTGGGATTTATGAACCCAACTATTATTTTCTTCCCCAGGGGGAAAAAAAAAAAAAGTAGTTTTGACTGAATGGAGGAACATTTACCATGTTCATTTTGGTCATTTAAACTCTAGAGAGCAGTTTCTGTAAAGATGACCTAAGCTATTCAAGACAAAACTGTGTTCTTGAGGACACCCAAGTTACTTGCACTGACAGTTGTTACAAGTGAAGAAATGCCTTCGCTGCTCGAGCCATCTGATGACAACAGAACAATAAATGCGAGCGGGTGAGAACTACTCGTTTCTAAGCAAACAGCTGGATCATTCCCCTCATTTCAGTGGAGCATTTCAGCCTCCTGGAAATGGGTCAACCAAGTGTTACTAAGCACCCAAAACTCGAAATAAAAAATAATGACTGCTAAAAAACATACTTTATGTGCACAGCTGCCGAGCGGTGGATGAAAATCCTCTTCTTCCACATATTTCCTTTTAAAGTATGTGATCTTGGACGTCGTTACGGGACTCGAAATTCCCCGGTAATGCGCTCCTGCGGGCCATAAATCAGACACGACACATGACATGCGGTTTGCCGGAGGTCCTCTCCAAACAAAATACTTGTCGCTGCCCTCGCTTTATGTGCACAGCTGCCGAGCGGTGGATGAAAATCCTCTTCTTCCACATATTTCCTTTTAAAGTATGTGATCTTGGACGTCGTTACGGGACTCGAAATTCCCCGGTAATGCGCTCCTGCGGGCCATAAATCAGACACGACACATGACATGCGGTTTGCCGGAGGTCCTCTCCAAACAAAATACTTGTCGCTGCCCTCGCCCGCTGCGGGCGCCGCTCCGCTCCGCGCACTTCCCGCCG